ACTGCAGGTGCCAAGACAAGGAAAATGCCAAATCTCAAGAGACTTGTGCTGGAACTGTGAGAACTGAGAAAGTGATGACCATCATTTTATTCCTTCATATAGAATGGGAGTAGCCAACCTGTGGCACAGGTGCCACAAGTGACATGGGCAGCCTCTGTGTATGGCATGCAGCAGATGGGGGAGGGGACGGGTAGCAGTGGCAGATAGGGCAAGAAGCAGATAGCAAAGTAGTAGCTTGGTCAGGGAGCAAAGGGGAAAAGAGCAGAAAGCTGAGCAGCAAATGGTATAATGGAAAAAGATTGGAATGGCCCTTGGGAAGGGTGTGGGGCTAATTTGTGGCATGCCTGCCAAGAAGGATGGCTCCCACTGATCTAGAATGCAGGGCAGGGTGGCAACCTTAGGGCACCTATGCACATGCGGCGAAGCTGCTCCAACATGCTGTAATTACAGTGCATTGGAGCAGACTGGAACATGACAATTACCAAGTCTGCTGGAGTGTAGTAATTACTCCAGCATCATGTGTATCAGTGTCCCTGTGCTGAAAAATGGCAGCAGGGGCACTTTAACTAAAGCCTGTTCTATGAGCTTTAGTTAAAGTGCCCCCACTGCCACTTTTCAGCACAGGGACACTGATACACATGATGCTCCAGGTGCTTTAATTAGAGCGGCTCGGGGAGCCGCTCTAATTAAAGCACATCTCCCACCCTCTTCCTATCAACTCCTGGAGCATGTGTATAAACACCATTAGAAACTAACTAGTTCAGAGGCATGAGCTTTCCTAGACAACAATCTACTTTGTCAGATGCTAAGGTGCCAGCCTTTCCTACCTTTTGCTTGCCTTCAAACTAACCATGGCTAACTATTTCTCTCCCTCATCTAGTTACACATGCTGTTTTGCCAACCTTATTTTGCAAGAGTGCCTCTGTTTTCACCACTGTAAAGAGACAATGCCCATTATTCCCGATGTTGTTGATACACAACAGGCAGGGCTGATGTCGTAGTATTTCCCATAATCTCACAGAACCAGGGCAGAAGTGCTGCTCCTACTCTTGCATACATGGTGTTCATCACTTTCTTTAAAGAGACAGCAGTGTACCAACTTAATTTAGAAGCGAAAAAAAAAACCTCAGTAAAAACTCTTGTCTATAGTGACTCTTGTCTATAGTGAGGTAGAATATAGTTACTTTTTCATATAGTCACTTTTTTGCTTATTTCCTTCAGAAAGAGTACATTAATCCCATATGGTAGGGGGAAAAGTTTGCTTTTATATTTCCCCCCTAAAGAAAGGAAATATAAAAGATATCCTTCTGATGACAACTCAGATGGTATCAAAGGTCTTCATTTCACTGCAAAGGAACACTCGGCTATGGACAATGATATTTCACAGCTTTCTTTTTCACACGCATGATCTGTGAGAGGCAGCATTCATTCATTCCCCCACTGATTTCCCTAATTCAGGAAGAGGCAAAATATGGCCTATGGGCCGAATCCAGCCCACCAGACAATTCCATGAGGCCTGTGGGGCCCCTCCATAAGCCCTTTCTAAGCCCTGGCCCTCACTGCCCCTCTACAAGCAGGCGCCTCCATGCAGGAGGTGCAGCTCTGGTTGATTAACAACCAACCCCCACCCCGGCGACCCACCCCCAGCCCCAAGCTAAGGGGTGATAGAGACAAGAAGCCTCTGCCTGGCAAAGGCTTTTGCCTGGCCACTCCGATGCTGTTCCCAGACCTCCCTGCCTGCAAGACTGGGAATCCAGGTAAGGGCCCCACAGGGCTGGGGCCAGGGCCAGGGCCAGGGCCTCCTGATGGGGGAAAGAGGGCAGGAGCGGAGGGAGCCACACGCTATGGGGCTGGGTGGGGCTGGCCCTGCATGCTGCCACCACCTCCGGCTGGAGACGGGTGGGAGCTGCATGCTATGAGGCTGGGTGGGGCTGGCCATGCATGCTCCTGCCACTTGTGGCCAGGGACTGGAGTGGGAATGCAGGAGCTGTGCGCTATGGGGCTGGGTGGAGCTGGCCTGGCTCACTGCCATCACATATAGCTGGGAACTTGGGTAGGAGCATTATTGGGCTACGTGGGGCTTGCCCTGCAGGCTGCTACCACCTGTGGCCAGGGACTGCGGAAGAGCTCAGGGAGCTGCATGTTGTAGGCCAGGCAGGGCTGGACCCACTCTCTGCCACCACATGCAGCTCTAGGGACGTGCACACTCCAGGGACTCTGAGAACTTCCACACCCCCACACACTGTGCCCTTGCCCACCCCACCCTCCACCATACCCCCAACACACACAAATACACACCCTCCCACAGCCCCAGACACTCCCTCCCCCACCCCATCATACTCTCCCACACACCCCCACCCTAACCACACACACACACACTCCTCCACATCCACACCCACCCTCTGCTACACACCCCACCTACCACACACACACTCCTCAACCACACCGCCTCCCAAATACACCCCCTTATGCCCTTCACAGACAATATACAAGAGTAAGACTTTATTTTGAGCTATGATGAAATCTCTTCTAGATACACTATGCAAACACACACAAATCAGGACATTTTTTTTTAAATAAAATTAAAATAAGTTATAGTAGATGTTTGATTTTTTTTAGTATATGATTTGGTTTTATTTCCGGTTTCAAGATGGCAACCCCTGCTCCCTAAAGGAATACTTCCAAGGCAAGGTGAGGAACTTCCGGTTGGAAAAGGTCAGGGGTTAGGGGGAAGGACTTCTAGTCCCAAGATGGCAATCAGGGAGCGGGGAACCTGTCTAGGGGCAGGGCTACCCTTGTAGCCCTCAACAGCTCACCAAAATTCATTAAGCAGCCCTCCAGCTAAAATAATTACCAACCCCTGCCTTAATGGCACAGAGCTATATTAATTGGAACCACAAATAACTAAATCAAAGTAACAGGTTCCATAGAGCACCTCTAAAAGGCTACAAATCCCTAAGTATTGCCCATACTACTCATGGGCAACTGGTGCCTCTTGAGTTGGCGGGGGGGGGGACATGCCCCCCCCAACACCAGTCAACTGGGGGGGGGGGGGCCCCCCCACCAGCCAATCTCACTCACCAAAAGCAGCCGTGCCACTTCCAGAAGTCCCACAGCCATTTCGAGAAGTGAAACGGCCACTTTTGCTGGTGGCCCTGCTCCCTGACCGGCGCTCACAGGGAGGGGGCACCGGCACTCCCACCTGCCCACCTTCCCTTCATCTAAATAGGGAGCGCAGCCTGATAGGGGATGCACCAGCACTCTCAGGGGATTCACATGCACCCCCGTGCATCCCCTATGCATTGCCACTGATACTACTAGTATAAATTAGTATACTAACAGGATTATCTTACCAGCTTCCAGGGTGCATGGCTAAGGGAAACAGTAAAGTAAAATTAATAAAGCTGTATATTTAATTATCTGCAAAGATGGTCTGAGGTCACATCCAGACAAGGCTTAAAGGAGCAATTTCTTACCCTGAAATGGTTGTTAACCAGAGCAGGTAGTCCAAGCACATATATGAGAAGAAGGTGTTATTAAAGTAAATTCTAAATGGCAGGAGTAAATATGAAGTAACTAAAGTTAATCTAATAATTAAGTTAGAGCCTCAAGAAAGAAATCAGACCAAAATGCAGTACTTTTGACATTAAACTTCAGTTTGAGATTGGGACCTTTTGGACAGTGAATTAATTGTTTATCCTACTCACACCTGTTGTACCATGATCACATTCCCCTCTCACCCAACAAATGGCTTAAATTCAACACCATGCAAAAATAAAAAATAAGGAAGTTAGTCAGAGAGATTCTAAAGACAAACTAAGTCAATTAACATGCTTAAACTCAATGTGGAAGCAAGTTAAGAAATGAATAGATGTATGGACAGTATGCATATACCTGAACAAAAAAAAAAGCAAACAGCAAAAACCAGCATGGAGATATGGCAAAGTTCAAAATCTACTTGAGCCAAACAGAAACAGCAAATGTTATCAGAATCTTCATACAATTCTAAGATGGCAACACTGAAAAGCTAAGAATTCCATCAGCTAGAAGACTATTCAGTTCTGATCACCTTACCTTAAAAAGGGTAAAGCTAACAGAACAGGATCCAAGACATGCAAAGAAAATGACTGTAAGGAAGGGAAAATGTCTATATGAGAAGAGATTTCAAAATTCAGGACTGCTTATTTAAAAGGAGACACAACAGAATATAAAATATTGAATGTTGTAGAGAAACCACGTGGATGCTGCTCTTTGCCTTTGTAGGTATAAAAGAACAAGAGAACATATGCCATGTTGCCAACTTTCACATTATTATTGCAAGTCTAACAAAAATATGGCATTTTATTTAAATCCCCAGTTCTTTCACAAAAGCAATCACATGAGAATCTCTTTAATTTAAAAACAGTTTTAGGTTGTCATACCTGGGGAGAGAAGCTTTAAAATGTGACTCCAGTGTATCTTAACAGCTCAAGGCAAAGAAAGTAAAACATAATTTGGTATTTTATAAAGGTTTGTGGGTTTTAGATAATTTCAAGATTTTGTTTGTCTGAACATTTGCAGTTGGTAACAATATATATATATTAAAATTAACTCCTGGGACTCCTTGCCCTCAGGAGCAGTGCATGGGGCAGTGATGAGGATGTGGACTTTTAATTTCAAGCAAAAAAACAACAAAAGAAGATTAACATTGCCGCTACTTCTTGTAAGTAGTTGTGTGCTAAGTGCAATTATTAAAACAAAATAAAATTCAGAAAGCAACCTTGTTAGTATTGTTTTCCAAAAAGGATACTTTGTTAACTCTCCTCACATTGCAAAGTAACTTTCAGTTGGGAAGTTTGTTAAATATTCTGCAATTACTTTCAGTATTAAGAGGATATGATGCTCTGCAACATTCAGCTCTCAGCCGTACTGTAGGTAGTAACTTACCCTTTGCTTTTTATTTTTAATATTGAATTAAAGGCTTTGCTTATCAAATCATTGAGTAAGTCTGATAAACTTACATCATATCCACTGTTGCGAATTCCACGCCGTGGTCTCTCCCGAGTAACTAGAAGATCCATCTCAGTTTCTCCTGGGCTAGGACTGTTCAGAGACTGCCTGCTTCTATACACAGAATTCTTCATCTGTTGCCTAGAGCAAATGCAACAAGAAACTATTAAAATGAATGTAAGGAAGAAAAATAAATGACAGAGTGGTCTCCAAATCTAACCTTTATTCTAAAATGATTTTAATTATTAAAAAGTTACTTTTGAATAGAATACCCTTTTGATAACCACAGAACTGCTAAACGCATTCGGTTTTGTTTTCCTTAATTCAAACGCCTAAATTCAAACGTAAAGAGAAGAGGCATCATAAACTAATGAATACCAGTTGAGATATGATCCAGGTGAATACCAGAAACTTTGTAGTTTGTAACAGATGCAATATAAAATAAATAAGTGTAATTAACAGTAAACTACCAAAGTCAGTGGGTGCTGAAGGTGCTAAGAAACTCTGAGTGTAGACAGAAGTAACTTTAGAAATGTTTCCAAGTAAAGTAGGATTGAAAATCTTTCAAAAGCCTCTCATTGCAGCTGCAGAACATGTGTATAGCCCCTGTGGCGCCCTCAGGCTGGAACTATTCAAAACTGCAGTGGCTGAATGAAGACTTTCCAGCCAGGGCGTGCTATATGGGGCTGTAGTGACCTGCAGTTCCACTGCCACCATGGAAAGATAGTGGGGTAGGCAAAGGGAAGTGGAAAGAGGAGAAGGAAAGCAGAGGTTGGGTCAGAGGAGCTTCTGACACTCCAGATGCACTCCTGAACCTCTTCTCTTCTGAAACTCTCTCTAATAAACAGTTATCAACCTGTGGAGTAAAGTCAATGGAGACAACTCTGTGCCACTACTCCCAGCCTTCATAGCACAGTGCATAATCCAGGGTGGAAATGAAGTTAGGTCTGACTTCTATACCATTCCACTGATCTAAAGTTGCAGTTGTGCAATTTTTACACCAACATCTTTTGAACCTCTCAGGATGGAAAGCTAGAGCTTAAGAAGGTAGAAGGAGGAATGGTTAGAGGAGTGCTCCACTCAACTTGCCCTCTGAGGTAACATTCTCTTAAAGTGTATAAATTAAGTGTCCCCAAACTGCACTATGGACAAGGTCAGCTGTAGTTAACACCCAAAGGAGGGCAAAGGTGATGTGGTGCCTATCTTCGAGAAAGGGAGGAAAGTGGATCCGGCAAACTATAGGCTCATCAGCCTGACTTCTATCCCAGGGAAGATCTTAGAAAAGTTTATTAAAGAGGCCATCCTTAATGGACTGGCCGATGCCAACATCCTGAGGGATAGCCAGCATGAGTTTGTTGCGGATAGGTCTTGCTTGACCAATCTCATTTCCTTCTACGACCAGGTGACCTATCACCTGGACAAGGAAGAAGAGATTGATGTCATACATCTTGACTTCAAAAAAGCCTTCAATCTGGTATCCCATGATCACCTCTTGGCAAAACTGGCCAATTGTGGCCTTGGGTCCACCATGATCCGCTGGCTGGGAAATTGGCTCCGTGGTCGGACCCAGAGGGTAGTAATTGATGGAAGTCAATCATCATTGTGCCCTGTGACCAGTGGGGTCCCCCAAGGCTCTGTCCTTGGACCCATACTGTTCAACATCTTCATTAATGATGTGGACATTGGAGTCAGAAGCGGACTAGTCAAGTTCACCGATGACACCAAACTTTGGGGCAAAGCACCCACACCAGAAGACAGGAGGGTGACCTGGACAGGCTCAGCAAATGGACAGACAAGAACCTGATGGTGTTTAACACTGAAAAACGCAAGGTTCTCCACCTTGGGAGGAAAAATCTGCAGCATCCTTATAGGCTCAGCAGTGCTACACTGGCTAGCACTACAAAAGAAAGAGACTTGGGGGTCATCATTGACCACAAGATGAACATGAGCCTGCAATGTGATGCTGCGGCTAGTAAAGCGACCAAAACGTTGGCTTGCATCCATAGATGCTTCTCAAGCAAATCCCGGGACGCCATTCTCCCCTTGTACTCAGCCTTGGTGAGGCCGCAGCTAGAGTACCGCGTCCAGTTTTGGGCCCCACAATTCAAAAACAATGTGGAGAAGCTTGAGAGAGTCCAGAGAAGGGCCATGCGCATGATCAGAGGTCAGGAAAACAGACCTTACAATGACAGGGTGAGAGCTATGGGGCTCTTTAGCCTGGAAAAGCGCAGGCTCAGGGGTGATCTGATGGTCCCCTATAAGTTTATCAGGGGTGAGCACCAGTATCTGTGGGAATGTTTATTCACCAGAGCGCCCCAAGGGATGACGAGGTCGAATGGTTACAAACTACTGCAAGACCAGCTCAGGCTGGACATGAGGAAGAATTTCTTCATTGTCCGAGCCCCCAAGGTCTGGAACAGCCTGCCATTGGAGGTGGTTCAAGCACCTACATGGTACACCTTCAAGAATAAATTGAATGCTTATCTTGCTGGGATCCTATGACCCCAGCTGACTTCCTGCCCTTTGGGCAGGGGGCTGGACTTGATGATCTTCCAAGGTCCCTTCCAGCCCTAATTTCTATGAAATTTATGAAATAAAGATCATCCCTTGGAGGATGGAAAACCAAATGATCACACTATTCTGTAGTTGTTCTGAGTCTCTCCCTTTTCTATTAATCTTTTTTTTCTGTGTTGCTGGAACACTGTAAAACAGAAATAAATCATCCCTTTGGAAACTACACAATACATGCACATGCTTATATTCTATAGCAAGGGTCATCAAGCTGTGGTATATGTCAGTATTCCCTCCTCTGTATGGTAATCACTGATCTTGTAATTATATAGCAGTGTAATTTCCCAGCAGAGTAGCTACATGGTTATTACTGTATAATATACAGTTATTTTTGTCTGCCTAGATAAAATGATCAGACATTTGAAAATTCCAGGGGCCTTACTGGTTCAGGGAATTATAGGAGTTTAGGAATAAACTCCTCTCTAGACATATTATTGAATACTTTTATATTGTATGTATATTATCAACCTTCTTCTGCAGACACAGATATGGAAGCAGACTGGCCCTGAATGTGATCTGGTATGACAATACATATGTTCCAAAATTAGAGGTTTCTAGAACTGTATAATTCTCTTTCAAGGGGACATGTTCTGCAGCTTAATCAACTAGTGGTACATTATCTAGAAGTTTCAAATACATGGCATCTAATACATGTGCATTCTTGATCTGATTACAAACAATTAAGGAAAAAGACCCAGAGCAGTGCATATCATCAGCAGACTTACCACAATTGCCCTGAGATTGCCAATTAGCTGATTTAAAGAAGATTCACTAAAGAGAAGGGAGGTATCAACATAAACAACTAGCATTCAAATAGGTTTGCAAGTGTCTTCTGGGAACGAAAGCAAAATTCTGTGGTGCCCAGAAGACTGAAAGGGATGCAGAGCACAGGCATGTGGATACTTGAACAAACCAAATTATTTAGAGCTATTGTTTTATAAACAAAATTTAAAATGCTGTTTAACACAAATCGGAATATATAAAGGTCAGCTTGAAACATGTCAATAATTCCTTTTTTTTCCTGTTACATTTTGGAAGTGCCATACATTAATGACAGCTTCACAGTTATAACAAGAGGAGAACAGGACTTTTTCCCAGAGCTCTGAAATTTTTATCTTTTTACCTACTCCTAAAGATTATTTAAAACAATTAACTGTATGTGCAGCTTTTTAAAATACAGGTTTTTAATTCCATATCAATACATAGAAAATGATACAAAGCAAAATCTTATTGTTCTGAAGTAGGTATCATTTAAGAGTAATGTTTTTATTATGGAATTATAGTGATAGTAATTAATCTAGTACCTTGCAATATAATTTTCCTGTACTCATCCAGTATCATATTATTGCTCTACAGCATATACTTAGCTGTGCTGTTAGTATGGCAACTGTTTAACTGCTTATTAGTAAGAAAATGTAAGTTTACCTGAGACACAAACATTCCCGAATTTTGGAAATGCATCATATTTTTAGCTCCCATAGTCCATATTTAGTGAAAAGATATCTGTACTCTTCACACAGTCGTGGTTTATTGCTTCAGGTAAAGAGGAAAGGGAAATCATTCCCCAAAGTTTAGTGTACATGCCTTGATGCATTTTTTCATAACCATGAGATACTGAAATAGTCTCTAAGATTTACATAATACATTAGAGAGAATACCTAGAAAAAGAGCACTGCAGGATCTCTTAGTATATCAATTCATGAAAAGAAAATGGTCGGTATTAAAGTTTCATGTGTAAAGTGTTAAACATCCCCCACATCTCTTAGAGTACATAACAAACCCCTAAGACATGGTTTCAGTACTGCACTGTATGTACTGTAAATATTAATGTTCATGTTTCTACATTCCTCAACTATAGTCTCAGGACAGATGGTGCTAATAAAATAGAACTATTGTATCATGCTAATGCTCAATATCTTACCTTTCCTGTGCATATGTAACAATTTGTTCCTCCCTCACTGGAGATCTGTAAAAGAACTGATGCTCTGACCCTCCAGCAAGGACACCAGATACAGTTTAATCAGAATCTTTATTCTTCATTGACCTGTACAACCCTGGGACAAGTCTTCCTGAGCACAGTCTCCTTCAGTCATTTAACTCTCTCCAGGCCCCTGGGTACACAAGCTCATTTGGCTTCAGCAATTGCTTATATTCCAAGACAACCTTTCCTTTAGAATTCCTGTTACAACCTCTCATCTCTGCCCACAGAAGGTAATTGTGGCAGCTATTCTGAATGCAAAGGCCCTTTATTATTGCTCCTTTAAGTACTGATGCTGTTAATTCTATTAGCAAGGCTCCGATCTGAACTAATCAGACAATGAGAACAGAATGGAGATCTCCATCCATGAGGAGTATGAAGAAGAAGAAGAGTATTTGTATATACTCCTTCCCTTTCTACAATAATCTCCTGATGTCATTTTCCTCTGACTACATAAAGGATTACAATGTGGTAAAAAACTACACATAATTTGAGGTGGTGTGACATCTCAGTGGGAGCCCTAAAGAGATACTACCTCAGACAGTCACAATGCCTCCCCACAGATCTCCTGTATGACACAAAAATGGGCATGCTATGCAACTCCTCTGTAGGCCAGCTTGACTGGCAGGTGAGGGGTAAGACTGTTGGGACCTCCTCTCTTTATGGACAGCCTGTGCTTCAGGAAGCACTGATAAAGGACTTAGCAGACAGAAGCATCTGCAACAGCGAGCAGCCTCTGTGCAATGGATCTAAATAGGATGAAGAGGAAATTTGTACCCTTTTTTGTGAATTCTCTTGAGTACAGAGATGAGCATTCTATATTCGTAAATTACTTCCAAGAGCCAACACAGTGCTACACAAACACTGGCTATGTTATATAACCACCTCTTCTCAATTTAAAGAGGAGTTAATTATGCCATAGATTAAATGACTTGTCAAGATCACAGCAATCCACAGAGTACACTTATAGCCTTGCAGACATCATCATCTGCTAAACAAGCTACTGAAATGAATCGACCTTATGATGTTCAGGTAATACTGCTAGGTTTTAAAAAGTTATTTATTTGTAAGGTCCAACTTTGGAAATAATTGCAGGTGTGTGTGGCAGTGCACTGTGTGCGCCTGCCACTTTAAGGGCCTGGAGCTGGCAGCCTCCAGGTGCCTGATGAGGGCAGCCATTTTGAGGCAAGGGCTGCCTATATAAACAAGGCAGTTTGGCTGTAGGAGGTCCAGGCAGCAACATTGCCTGGTTGAAGGGCTGCTGAGAATGACCTGGAGGTAAGGGGGAGCTGCAAGGGGATAGTAAGGAGGCTCCTGGTCCTGGGCATGACCTGAAATTGCACCCTGCCGGGAGTGGGTGGCCTGGTGGGGCTCTCAGTGGTGTGGGAGCCCCCAGGAAATGCCAGGCCAGTTACCACCTGGTGAAAGGTGGGTTGGGGCTCCTTAACTGCCAAGCTCCCACCACTGGGTGGGTAACCCTATGTTTGGAGGGGCCCAGAGGGCGGACCCCAAGAGAGTGATTGTGTACAGGGCATGGTGCTGCGGTTGCCCCTGGGAGAAGGGAGTAGTGGCACGGTGAGGCCCGAGGATAGAGAGAGAGGGGCTAGAGACCCAGCCCGAAGGAGAGAGTACCCTCGACTGGCCCAAGCTAGGGCCAGGACCAGGAGGGTCAAAAGGGTCAGGGACCCACCGCGAGGGACGCCCAAGAGCCGGGGGCCTGGGGTTCCAACTGGCCTGGAGGTGGGCCAGGGCAAGAGGCCGAAGGTCCTGGGGGGACCACACCCAAGAGGGGAAAGTACCGTCGGAGGGGCTAGGTAGCCTGGATGAAGGTGGAGAGGCCGCCCGATAAGAGAGGATCATAGAGGAGTCCTGTATGGATGATTCTGGGGCCCAGTGTGGGGCCGGTAACTATGTGAACACCATGATGCCACCTGCGAGGCTTGGGCTGTGGTATTGGGGAGGTAGGAGCCGCAGAGAGCGCCCCCTGGCATCGGGGCACAAAATGGGTAGCCTCCCGCTTAATTGTCATCTTAATTGTATCAATTAACATCAAAGGTGTGCCAGGCAAGATAGGCGGGCGGTTGCCCAGAGACAGGTAGGCGGGCTGTGGAGATTAGCCCCGAGGTGGCCCCCTGTCACAGTGTGCTTGCAACAAAACAATGGTTTAGAAACTGTTGCACTTTGCCAAAGAGCAGTTTTGGATGCCAACTTTTGGGCCTAAGTCCATTTCTATTCTTTGAGTAAAGGCTATTATCATACTTCCAGTTTAGTTAATTTGAAAAAAATGGCTCACAAAATACATGAAAAATCTACCCTTCAAATATCATTTTTCTTTCCACTTTTTCCTTTCTTACCATGTTACAACATACCGCACGTTCAGGAATTTGCCAGAAATAATCAGTTTTCTTCATGAAACAGGAGACACCAAACAAATGAAATAGCATGTAAAAGATTTTCTTCACCAGTGACAGACATTTCCACTTGAGATAATTGTTCTTCTTATAGTCCATGGGTAATACCAATCCCATAACAAGGATGGAACTTTATATTAAAACTAGCCAATTGCCCGTCAAGAATAAAGGAGGAAGGGGAAGAGGGGCGGGGACAGAGCACCGCCACCCACCAGCCCGAGCCACCGCCTCCTCCCAAGGAGGAGCTTGTCCCGCCGTCCCCCTCCACCAATACCCCACGCCATCGCTGCCTCCAGCATCGCTGGCCTTGCTGCCCTCCCCCGGCTCTGTTCCTCGGGGCAGCAGAGCACCACCATGATGAAAGGGACAGAGCAGCAGGGTGAGCCCAGTGCTACTGGCCTTAGGGGGGCCCCCCACACCCCACCCCATCCCATCCCATCCCCTCCATCCCCACCATCATGGAGGTGCTCCACTCTCTGATTGAATGTTTTACTAACCAATCAGAGTGCTCCAAGAGCATTACAGACAGAAAGACAGATAGACTAAGGTCTTTGTTATATAAGATGCACAAACATCTCACCTGTTTTTAGGCTCTGCAAATGGAGAAGATGCATCTATTTCTGGATCCAAACCATGATCTATTTCTTTCTGAGGTTTTTCATATATCTTTCTTCTTTCTGTCAGCCCCTTATTGTTATCAACCTGAGGAAAATCATAGTACCCTTTCCTCTTGGCTTTCAAGCGCAGCTTGTTGCGATAATGTTCTATGTCAGACTTCTGCTTTAAGGCTTTGTTCACCTAGAAGAAGGCAAAAGGACTTCTAGATAAAAGTAACATGCTGATGAATTATAAACTATGTTTTGAAAGTGTATTTGATGCACAATGTGTATTGCTTTGGATTGTGCCTCTTGGACCACAACACACCATCTGTCAACAGTAGGGAAGTACAAGCGAACGGAGTCACTGTATTTTGTATCATTTGGCAGATGGTTGAATAATTGTAGCCTAATGGAACTCTATACCTCCTAACAGTGACTCCATTTACACCCCCTGAAGAAGAACGCTGAGGATGTCGGCCAATCTTCTTCACAATCAAAAGTAATGTTTGTTTTCAGGGAGGACGGGGTGGGGATGGGGAAGTATTTTATACACTTGAACAAATTGAAGCTCTTCTCCAAAGTCAGTGTAAAAATGTTGAAAGTACCTAGTTTTTGTGTTAAGGCAAATGCCACAAATCTCTTTATGAACTCCACAACGTTCCTGGGTCTTGCTCAGATGATGCACAGCTACTATTCCTTGAAAGAAAATAGGTACTGAATATAAGTTACTGCTCCAGGGAATCAATAGCTGTGACACTTCAGGGCTTAAAGTACAAAACTAAACATGATATTTACCCAAATTTAAATCCTCACACAGTCTGTCATAGTTATTATTTACTGTGGTCTAACCTGAGAGTAATGTTGGGTTTGACCCATAAAGAGACAAGGGCAAGATTCTGGGTGGCCCTCACATGAGCGCTTAGCCTGAAGGGCACAAAAGAAGCCTTCCCCCAACTCCAAGACATTGCACAGATATAAATTCTCTGACCCCCCCCCCCTCAGTAAGTCAGCATGTTTCTATGAACGTTACATAGAAAACGCTTGTAAAATAACATAAATCTCAGAGAAAAAGGGTGGTACTCTGTTAACGGTCTAATTAAGCACCAATTCAAAATCACTTTGGTCCAAGAGGAAAGTAATTGTGCCTAGTATGTAGGCTGAAGCACAGATTGTACAAGGCCTGGCTTAGTTCCTACCCACCTGGCTTTTTGTAGGCAGAAGAGTTTAGTGAACAGAAACCTGGCTCTGACTTAAGAGAGCCTGGTTCAGTTCCCAGCTCAGTGATTTCCTGTATAACTTTGCACAGACGTTCTAAGACATTGTCCCTCCAATCCACATTTTATAAAAGGGAAGTCTTGGGAAAATTAAATCCCTTACTAGCTCCCAGGTATTCGAACAGTGCAGTGCTGGAGTCCACAGACAGACTGACATGGCTCCTTTAGGGCACCATGTATTCATAGATACAGAACCATAGTCTCCACACACTCTGAGCACAATCTGCACTTGTTACAGGATTTTACAAAAGATATGCAGTTGAGTGAAAGGATGCTAGTATTCTTCTTCTCTCTTCACTCTACTTGACTAAAGTCCAGTATATTGTCAAGGAAAATACATGTGAAACACTATCAATTGGCCCTTACCTCCCCATTAATGATGGCAGATTCCTGGCTCCTATCTGATGCAGCATGGACAGGAGGCAATGCCACAGGTTTTATAGCAATCAGTTGTACAGATCCAGAAGATGTGTCGAAGGGATCAATGGCAGACTTAGCAATGCTGTTATCAAAGAGAATGCCTCCTTCCTCTTCATCACTTATGGGCACTAAAGCACATTACGTTTATTCAGTATATGATCTAAATTATTTTATTGCAGGTACACAAGAAAACTAAGTGAACACAGGCAATAGCTTAATACTGAAGTGTTTGATCCACTTTGCCTGAAGACTTCTACAACTGGAAAACTTGGACTTCAAACAGAATAAAGTTTTTCATGCAAGGTGTCATATCAAAAACAGGCACCCCAAAAGGAATATTTGTTTCCAAAAAGTCTGCGCCATTGAGATGGAAGAAAAAACAAAAACTGAATGATGTAGAAAGAAATGGTAGGAAAATGACAATGGAAGAAAAGTATGCCCTCCTCCACATGTTATATGAAAAAAGTTGATGTGACAGTTTTCAAATGCCAGTGCTGAATACAAATATCTAGCACATTTTCTTTTAACGGAGCTTTTTTCAAATCTGAAAATAAAGCCACTGATTTTTAGGAAGTGCTGCAAAGACAATTACTACTTAAAATACACATGTTAAACTAAAGTTACTATGCAGACATGCTCATGGACTACCACTTTCCCAGCTCGTGTCATTTTGCAAAAAATTAACCATTCAAATTTGTAAAGAGAAAGTAGAGGATTCCTGATGTAAAACATCTCTGAAAGTCTTAATATTTAAGCGGCACGGTCTTCATTTTTATACATCTGCTTAAATGTGCACCCTCCTTCAGTTCAAATTGGCAATTTTCCAAAGTTTTGTTGATAAGCCAGTATCATGCTGTCAGTCATGAATACCTAGACCTACTTTTTCCCATTTTGCAAAAAAAAAATATATATATATATATATATAAAGTATGGAGCAAGTTCTGCAGAGATCCTTACAAACACTTTTAAATAACTGTCTTATTAAAGACGGGAATATTTGTTCTCTCTCAAATGACAGGAGTAGAAATCAGCTTCTGCTGAAGAACAAAGTGGTATGCTCACAACTTACTTCCTGTGAAAATATATGCCATTTTAATTTTTAATCATCAAAAGAATTAGAATGGAGCCATAGGAGACAGTAGATAGTTTCAGAAAAAAAATATTTGATTGTACTTGCATAACAAATGTAACCTACTGTATAAGCGTATTCATCTTGCTCTCTGAATTCACAGTAGAGTAAGTTGTCACTATTTGAAATGCTAAGAAATATACAGGTTATATAATGGTGTTACTAAATAATATCTCTCAGGATTTATAAAGCTGTACAAATACAATTGTCTTCATTTTAGTCTGTCTAGAAGTCCTCTCAGACTCTTAAAAGTGTAGTTAAAACACAGTGCCATGAATCTGATAAACTTGCAGTGGTAAAGAGGGACGAAAACTTGGTCCCATTGAAGTCACCAGAAAAACGAATGACTTCTGTGGGACCAAGGTTTCAATTGGATCAGAGTTGCTCAACCTTTTGGTGCTACAGGTCAGATGAGTGGCATAGGGCAAGTCTATGGGCTGGATTGGACCCTGAATACCAGAATCATTCCTGTGCCACCAGATTGGGACCCATGCCTCTCCCTTGGTCCTGCAACCCAGATAAGGGCCCTGCACCACCACCTTCAGCTCCATGGCACCAGATGGGGGCACCACACTGCTTTGCTTGGCCCCATGCTGCCGGATCCAGGCCCCACCCTGCCTTCACCTGGCCCATGTGCCCGGATTGGGCCCTAGGCCACCGATCTAGTATGCTATGTGGCCCATGGGGCTCCCCATAAGTCCAGAAATTTGGCAGCAGAGGAGCAGCAACTGCAGCCTCTGCTCCCCAACTGTCAAATGTTCAGATCCATGGGGACCCCCTGGGGGCTGGATGCTGTGGCTCCACAGGCTGGATCTGGCCTGTGGGCCAGGGTTTGAGCACCCTCTGAATTGGATGAACAGCCTGAAATTTATATAAACAGGGCTTTGGCCCCAAATGCCTGGACATAATAACCATTCTAATATAAGCATTTCTGGGAGGGGAGGGTTGTGCAGGGTGGTAAATGACTGCTGTTAATGGTGCAGCTCAGGTATATAAGCCAGGCGTATAAGGTAGCACAATGACTTAGCCGGAAGTAAGTTTTAAATTCAGGCTCAAATTCAAATGTCAAACCTGTCTTAAAGACAGACACAAACATTGCCTCAATCTTCATTGTCTTGTCTTTTCTCCAAATCTTCCATTAGAAAATAGAAATGCTTTCAAACTTCCTCTGGGTTTCACACTTTCCAGTAAGCTCTAGAGCAGTGGTTCTTAACCTTTTTGCACTTGAGGCACCCTTCACTGGACTCAAGGCACCACTCCTTAACTTCTAGGAATTAACTGGCACCCAGATTCAAAAACTAATTTCTATGTTACCATGCTTACCTCCTTGTAGAGAGGTTGGGCAATGGAGATGGAGAATCATCCAGTCAGGGGCAAGCCTGAGCCTGTGCTTATTTGCTTAATTTATCTGCTTATCTCCTCATACCTTGTGGCACCCTTCAAAGGATCTGGCAGCACTCTGGCTGAGAATAACTGCTCTAGAGACAGCAAATGAGCAAAACCATCTTACCAACATGAAGCATTTCCAAGTAACCATGCTTGCAGACTAAATTGTCCCTGCAGCAATGAGCTCCATGCAGACAGAGCCCTATACCTGTGTGAAACACGGCTGACTATTAACAGGCTTCATTCTAGGTGAGGACTTCACCTGCCCAGAACTCACTGGTGGAGAAGGTTCAAAGTGTTTTGCTTGGTTACACAAAATCCTCCACTTGCCAGGCTCATATTCATTCAATACAAAGAGAAATGAGCAATAAAAAGAATCAGAAATCACAAAGGGCAGCTACTTCCAATATGCAGTATTAACACATAACAGCATACTTTCCTCACACATAATATTAGTAAGCACATCTCCTGCAGCCAGACAGGCACTTTTTGTGAAGCTATATTAATGATACCAGAAATTAGATGTTTATTCCACATTAACTGAACATTTGCTGAGCTCAATTAATTTTTTTTTTGTCTGTTACATTTCTTTGCATTGACAGATAAATGATAAAACAAAGATGCAATTTATAGATATTGGCAAATTGTTGTAGATTAGATATACAGTGAACTGTAAGAAAGCACCACAGGCACTTTAATGTTGGCTCTGATTTGTCTCTTTCCCAGAGAATTCACAGTAAATGCTCAGAATGAGATTAAAGTCCAAGACACTATATACATCATCAAGAAACTGAGCAAAAGAAGCTCACATGAAAAACTAGAAGTCTTTGAGGGTTACTTTTGTATCTCTGCACAGTTCTATCTATGTCTCTGAACGTATGGGTCTGGAGGAAGGATGTAGATGACTGAAAACTTAAAATATGATCCAAATGTTATCTTAAAGTCACTCACAAAAGGGTCATGTGTTTCTTATAAGTAAAACTAAAAGGGGAAAAAGCTTTCTCAGCCCACATTTAAAGCAATACTCTTTAGTTTCTCTTTAAGCAATTGAACATCTATACCACATTGGTTTAATTATTCTCTGTTTCTCTTTCCAAAGCAAAGAATGAGAGGAAAATAGTTTAGGTTTCAAGGGAGAAAGAAAGGGAAAAATTTACTCACCTATGAGTAAGTATCTTTCCTGAAGGAGGAACCTAGCACTCAGTGAACTGTAATGTAAAGTCCATTACAACTGAATGTTTCACTTCCTAGGCTCTCTCTTTAAAAATCCCTTTCTCTTTAAGGAAATGTCTACACTGCACTCAGGAGATGTGACTGCAGCACACATACAAGTACTCAAGATAGCATTAATCCAATTAGTTCAAGTACTGACAGCAGTGCAGGGCTGTGGTAATGACTTTGTAAGCCTGCCTGGACATTGAGTATGTACTTTGGGGGCAGTTAGCCTGCACTGAAAACAGTGCTGCCTATATTCACTGCGACTTCTACCTTAACCGTGTAGATTAAAGCTGTCTCCAGCAAGCCTGCACATGCTGCAATCACACCTGATTGCAGTATTGATATATCTTATCTTTGCAATGTAGTTCCAGCAGGTGGAGCTAATCACTCACCTCTCTGGCTTCTCAGCCAAGTACCCAAGCTGAAAACAAAACTAGGGGCACACGGTTAAAGACTTTCTTGGCTGATAGCTGATTATTAGCCAGTCATATCAGCCAACACTATTCCGATAACTGATATTTAATAATAAAGCTCGTCAAACAAGCTTTAGTTTAAGCACTCCCACTGCCATTTCTAAGTGTGGGGATACTGATACAGGAGACACAGTGGCACTTTAATTAAAGTGGCTCTCAGAGCCGCACTAATTAAAGCATCCCCCCTTTCAACCCCAGTCTGGGGGCAGCTGCCTGAGCCTGAGGCTGCCCAGGGCTGGGTTGTCTCCAGGTACTTTCATTAGAGCGGCCCTTGGAGCCACTCTAATTAATGTGCCGCTTCCTCACTCTCAGGGGCTCCCTGCTGGGAGAAGGACCCTGCTGCACACAGCAGGGGGGAGCAGCTGCCCCAGCCCCTGCCAGGCTCTGTCCCCAGCCCCTGGGGTACAGACCCTGGGCACTGTGCATTGAGTCATGCTGTGCTGAGCTGGGCTGGGCTGGGCTGGGCCAGGCAGCTCAGTTGTGCCTGCCCCTCCCTGCCCCAGTCATGTTTCCAGCATTTACAGTGCCTGCCCCAGCCCACAGTCCGCACTATGCTACACCACACCAGCACCTGGGACACCATGGCAGCTGCTCCACTCCAGCCCAGCCTGCCAGTGAGGAGCTGGGGGTGTATCCAGGGTCACACCGGCTTGCAGGAGGAAAGCCAGGTGTCCAGGGGCCCCGGCAAAATTAAATTCTTGGAGAATATTATTGGCTACATCGGCCAAAAAAAGCCGATAGTCAATAATGTTAATTTCCCTTTTATCAGTGCCAGTCCAATGCACGACCAATATATCAGTGCACTCTAACACAAACTACAGATTTTGATTAATATTATGAAAGAAAAGGAAAGATACTTTGTTTTTTTCTCTATTTGCTTTTTTGTTATGCAAAAAAAAAAAAGAAAAGAAAGGCTTATGGC